TAAATTCTTATATTATCTGATTATTCAATTTCTCGTTTTCTGTTTTTCTCTCTTAGCTTATTTTTTAGCCGAGAAAAATTCTTTGCATGCCTTGTGTACCGCGAGGGGTCATTTCACCCCTTATGATAAGATAGGTATATGTAAAATGCCGGTACGTTTAGTGTTAACGCTAGAACTATCCAGATCTTTGGTACGTGCAAAATATATTTTACGTATAAATTACAATTTGAACAGTGATGATTAAAATAAATAGAATAGAACTGTGGAATCATCATCAGTCTCTGTCTAGAGAGAGAGAGAGAGAGAGAGAGAGAGAAAAAATATTAATTTTAACAAAAATTCCCGTAATTCTTTTTTGAGGAATTGTGAAAAAAGAAACTGGCAATTCCAGTGTTGAATATGACAGTCTTTAATTTGGCTAGTTATCTCGAATCATTGAACTAATTAAATACAACGGGATTCTAGTCGCCGACTGAAGTTTCACGAGGTGTGAAATTTATTACTTCAGAGATTTGATTATCACGTCGTCAAGCTTTTAATTCTTCAGAATCCTGGAATTTAATATTCCCTCCTGATGAGTAATTGCAATTAAAATGCAAATTGATTGCTCGCGACTGTAATCTACGCTATTATGAAAATGATGGGGAATCGAAGTTCTTCGCCGAGTCAAATTTTCTTTAGACAATTTCTATAGGCAGTGTTATTTTTCAATCGTCTCTCAATTCAATCTTTGACAATGTGAAAGGAAACAGACGATGCTGAAATCATTTCGTAATTATTGAATCCTAATTGAAATCTGATAAAATCGTCAATGAAAGGAACGTCCATGCGAGAAAGATCGTTTTACATTCCATTATGTAAAAATTTCCAGCCACGTGGATGTTTTCGGCTTAATATTTCCTCGAATATTTATTTGATCTCTCTAAGATCCTTAAATTGCTCTAAAAAAATTCCATTTTATCAAAAGATAAATTAAACTTTAAGGAGCAACGTAGATGCATCGTAGAAATAAATTTTTTTTTCTGCAAATAAAAGACTAAAATAAATACGCGAAGTACAGATAATTTTTTCAACGAATTGAATTTCTAAATCAGTTGATATTGTAGCTTATGTAATTACGAGCTAATCGATCGAAGTTTATTAGAGAAGAATCTGTATCGTCAAATATATGATATTATGCGCTGAAACTGAGCGAATGTGTTCGTTGAAAGATAGTAGAGTGAAAATTATTTTACCGGATTTTCTCTCTCGACAATACTGTTACTTTTATTGGCTCCGGCGATCTGACATCGACACGGTTAAAAATTAACGTCGTAGAAAATCGTGGCTTTCACGATTCGGATTTTTCAGTCGAATTATCAGTCGAGGCTATTCAGTTTTAAGTCTATCGGTTTTGTTAATAACTCCGCGACATTTAACTTATTCCAAGTTATTGTCGGTTGAAATTAAGTGGTCGCGCGAAATTTTATTCCAAATTTAATTAGGGCTTTGATTCGTATCATTCGTGTACTCCGGACGATGAAATATATTATTTACTTCAACAAATGACAGGGACGTTTCAACGTCTCGAGTGAAATAATTCGTCCGACGACGAATGCTTCCGCCTCAAGTTTTAAAAAAAAAAAAAAAGAAAAAAATTGCTCGACGAAGAAAGATAGTATTCTCAACGAGGCGTGAAGGCAACGAGGAAAAAATTTCAGGTATCACATGTTCGGCACGAAGATAGGTGCTCTGAACGTGTACTTCAAGAAAGAGAACGATCTTCTGCCGCGGCTAATGTTCAACAAGGAGGGCAACCAAGGAAATCAATGGCTGCATGGTATTTTCAATCTACCCAAGGCTAAAAAGGGTTTCCAGGTGAAGGGGCTATAAGCGCGAATACATAAACTAACCGGCAATTTCATTTCACTTCATGTTTCTCTCCATTTTCTCGTTCTTCTCAGATCATAATCGAGGGCGTGCGAGGCAGCGGCTACGTGAGCAACATCGCCATTGACGACATAGCCATTTTGCAGGGTGACAAGTGTCGAGACGACACTAAAGCGGAGAACGAGGGGGTCACCGAGGGCGACGATGGTAATTTGTAGGAAATGGAATTCCCTTTTACGAGCGGAGGGAGAAAAAAAAAAGAAAAAGAAAATAAAAAAAAAAAATAATAAAGAAAAGCAAGAAGTGCCCTGGCGAGGAACGTGTGACAAGTTGCCGAACATAATGAAATCGCGTATCAACGGCTTGGCTTATTGTGAATACCGCGAGCATGTAGATAAATTGCTTCACAGCGCAGACAAGGCTTAATAATTCCGTCTAAGCGGACACGTTTGCGCATTTGCGCGTGGCAAGGCTGGAATTGTTGAATCGGGTCGCGTAGACTCGACGAGCGTCGGAGAATAATACCTGTGACGTTTGTTTCTCCTTTTCATGCTTGAAAAGTACATATATACATATATATATATATTTGTTAAATTGGACTAAACCTTATTTCGAATGCTATTTGATCGACGTCGGTTTCAAACAAATTACACACTTTCGCTATAGGTTGTAATTTTATATCCGTAGGAGTATGACGAGCTTGACGAGTTTATTAATAGATAACGTAGTCGAATTACAACAATGAGAAATATATATAAAACAAGAAACATATATTGGATACGAAACGAACGAAATATTTTCAGATATCTGTCGATTTGTTATCCGTACATATGAACAATTATTATCTAAGACGAAATTCGACGATCGATTCCCTAGCGAAAGTTACCTTTGACAAAGGCATAATTATGAGCTGAAATTTTCAGAGGAGCCTTTCAAAGTAGCCTACGTGAAGTTTTCCGTTTCATTTCTTTTCTTCCCCCTCCTCGCCTTTCGATGTAAGATTTATATCTTATTTGAAACGAATGCTTTCTAGATCAAATCGAACTGGTGAACGCGCAGCAAACTTGCCGTGGAAAATGTAAAAATAGTATGACATATAATTTTACAACTTTGATGCCACCCACGCCGACGGAAAGCTGCCTCTGCACCCTCGATTGCGAAGAACAGTCACTCTGCTGTCCGGATTACGCGGAGTATTGCATTCTTGGTCAGTAGATCAATCACCGCGATTTCCAAACGCTCCATTATCTTCTTCGATATTCGATCGATAGGATTTAGCTTACGAGCGTATGTAATTCACACGATGTATAAAATAGTAGGAGCCTTCAAAAATTGATTTGAGATTTGTTTTGTAAACGAAGGAAAGATTACCTAGGATAATAATAATTGGTATTAAAATTTATTTCATCGATTATTAGTTGAGCCGAAATTTTGCTTACTTGTACTTAGTCCGAGCACAGTGAGATTTATTAGCTGTCGAGAGTTATGTACACTTAATATATTAAAACTGACGATTCGTCGTCAGAACAAATCTTATTGGAAATCGTATTGGATAATTGCTGCCTCTATCTAAGACTTCGTGTCACTGGCTTCGAGTAGATTTAAAAAAAAAAAAAAAAGAAAAAGGAAATTCAACAAATTGCAAATCTAATTAAGCTATGTTTGCCGTTTCACCTGAGCCTTTTCAATTCGCAGCGTACACCAGCGAGGCGAACGTGTCCGTGGAACAGTCGACGATACCGAATCACGAGGGTGCAGTTTCCGTTCCAGCGACGAAGAAGAGCACGATGAGCGACATGGCGACGGTCAGGAGCGGTTTCTCGATAAATCCAAAGGACGATATCGATCCTGTCACGTTGAGGCCGTCCACCATCATTACCACGACCGTGCCAACAACGACCACAATCTCGACGACGACCAGGCGGAAAATCGAGAAACCAACGAGAAGCACCAAACGCACCACACAGCCGATCGTCACTGCGAAAACTATTCAAACGTCGGGCACGTTATTTGTTCGGCCCACCAGCACACCTGGCAGACACGCTCCGATGAACGAGAAACCTGGTAATGCGAATTGTGTTGTATCACGTTCGATTGTGAAATTTCCTGACACCAGCGTCACGTGTTGAGAAACGCGCGTGTGGGCATTTGAATGGAACTTTCGGCAGTCGGAAGCGAATCGGGGGAATTGAGGAAGTTGGTGTTGCAACGAATGGTTGCGTTTCGGCTTTTCATCGTGTTTCAGCGGGTAGGTAGGTTCTCGCTGATGATTGGGTTGGCTCGCGTTTGTCTGGATACTCCCCGTGGATTATTCCAGAATAATCGATCCAGCTCTGCGAATAATTGGACAACGTTCCAACTATTCCTGCTTTTGAGAAAAACTGAGGAAGTGCAAGAACTTTTTACTGACGACGCAAGATTCTTCGTAAACCAAGGAAACTGAGCAAAATTAATTTTAACCCTCTAAGCGTTTATGTCGAGTATACTCGTCACGTGGAAAAAAAATTCACTTTTGCTATTTATTGTAAAGTTTAAAAAAGATTATGTATATTTGCAATTTTAGCACACTTTAGGATGCTTCAAGGAAATCAATAAAATTAAAAATTTTTCAAAGAAACACCAAAAGAATTTATCATTTTGTTTTATTGTGTCTCGTCGTTGAAATAATTAAACACACCAGTGCACATTCTCAAAATGAAACGAAACGCTTAAGGGGTTAAATAGCAAATCTGTTCAAACTTTTAAAGAGATTCTCGAGGAGGTCGAGAGAGCAGGGAACAAACACCCGTTTTTTTCCGATTAAGCCGGGATCGAGCCCTGCCTTAACAAAAACCTGCCTTAAACCAAAGTCCCAGAATCTTTTTTCAGAGGGTCGATAAGATCTTCTGGTGAAAAATGTGGACGACGAGGAAAAGAAAACGAGCGTTCTTTCCCCGCAGATTCGAACGAGAGGAGGCAAGACCCGGAGAAGATATCCCGAGGCTCGAGGTTCAGCTTGTCGGGAATTATCGCCGCGGTGGTCGGGATCCTGACGGGGGTGTCCATCTCGCTAATGCTCCTGGTTATCATCGTGAGACGAAGAAAAACGTACAAACGCGGGACGAACAGATCGGCGCTCTCGGAAGATAGCGACGTTCGATTTTTAACGTCCGACGAGATCTTGGACTTCACGTTAGCCAGGCCCAGTGACAACGACGAGACGTAAGAAACTTCTTCATTTTAACAAAGTTCCTTGCTTTCATTACGATCATACAATAAATAAAGGTCGCAGTGGCTCGTGATTTTATGTATCTTTGGATCTGTGGAAACGCTGAAACTATTAATTAAAATTAATGAGGCATTTAAACGAGGAATTCGTTACCGTGTTACTTAATGAGAACGTTCAAACAAATGAACGTTGATACGTAATCAACTGCCGCGGTGGTTAATTATTTTATAGAACCATTAACCTTTACTGCACGTGTGCCATTTGTGGACGGGATGGTTTGAAGACCGTAAAAACGCTTTGTAGTCGCTACCGAGTCGCTGTAACGATAGTTTCGAAATGTGAAATTAACTCTTAAAAGCCGTCGATTTCAAATTTGCTCTTATTACCGAATCTCTTTCGTCAAAATGATGTAACACAGGTTAAATTTTAAATTATTCTCTGACCATGGAAATTGTCATTGTAAATGCATCCTCCAAACACATGCTTATTACATCTGCGCCTTTTCTTATTCACATTCAACAGCAATTTAATATTGTTACAATACCGTTTTCATCTTCCAAATCTGATAATGTTTCTTTGGCTTCTGTGTTTTTATTATAAGTTTCTTCTTCATCGAACATAGTATATCTGCGTCACCGACTGTCTTTTTCGTTTATCTTCAACTTTCTCTACAAGAATCTGAAAATAATGGCAAGCTAGGACGCCAACTGCTGTGCGATCGACTCGACTCTTTTTATCGTTTACAGACTATCATTCGTCAAACGCACATGCGTGTTTCTTTCGGCTTCGTCGCAGCTGTTTTTGCCGTTCAAACAGCGTGGAAATGATAATCAGAGTGCTCTCGATCACCTTGAAAAACCCACGATCTCATTCCTGGCGGTGAAACCGCCAATTTCGTTTTAATCGCAGAGGTACCGATCAACCAATTTTCATCGATCTACGGCCGCTGTTCATCCCAGAGTATGTACAGAGAGACGTGTATACAGCATGAGTGAACGTATACAGAGTGATTTAAAAATACAGCGTGATTGCCACGTCGGTCTCCCATTGATCCCGCCCCTAAGCGCCGGGGCTAACGCTACCCTCTATTTTTACGAACTCGCACGCTCGCCCTTTCGCCCGATGGCTGAACGCCAGAGAAACACCGAATTTAACCTGGCCGTAGGGGCGGAACGACAGGTCGCCGGACGCTGTAATTAAGCGTCAGATAACGAAACGACACGCGGGGGTGGCTTCCCATAGCCTCGACTCGACTCGACTCGGTTGCCTCTCGTAGCTTATTCATCTAGTCGCCGTTATTTATCGATTCGCCGAAGGATCGCGCCGGAGAACGGAGAATGGTGAATGGTTTTTTTGGACTGCCACTGCATGCGTCGTTTTTTAAGACAACTGGCATAACAGTTGCCAGTTGCTTTCGGTTCACTGCTCGTAGAAAGAGTCGAGCGATAAGGGGACTCTCGGGCGTTTGTTTCCGTAATTAACACGTTCCATGCCATGTGTACCACCAGTGGTACACGTTAAACTTGATCTTCAGGCCACGTG